CAATGAACTTTTTAGCCTCGGCATCATCAGTTTTATATTTTCGGTCCAATAACTCCCACAACTCCTTAGCATTTTTCATAGTACTATACACATTGTATAAAGAATTTGCTAAACTGTTCATGATGTAGTTTCGATACAAAGAATCCGAATGTTTCCACGCATCAAGCGCACTAACAGCTTGACCATTTCCCTCACCCTCTTGGAGTTTTGGAGCACTTTAGTAAAAAAGCTCTCAAGATTCATGGTGGTCAGATAAAACAACATTTTCTGCTGCCACTTTTTGAAATTCAAGCCACCGAATTATTTCGATTTTTCACCATGATTAACCGGGATAGTAACAGTATGGCCAGTTGTTTGACTCACAACATGACTTGACAATCTAGCCACAGTTTGAGTCACAACAGAACTTAGCCCTTGAGCCATAGTAGAGCCCAAAGCCTGATTTTCATTAGCCACAACTTGGGTTACATTCATGTTGGTTGAATCGGTTGCCATTTCTGAAAATAAAACAAATATTAGTTTCCAATAAACCAAATAAAACAACTTATATAAAAAATCCGTTTTAAGTTTGTTGGATAATTGTTTCAAAAGCTTCACGAAACAGAATATCAGATTGAGTACCGGATATATAATAGATTCATAAATGATTNCACGAAACATAATATCAGATTGAGTACCGGATATATAATAGATTCATAAATGATTTATAAATTTCAGTAAATAATTAAACGAGAATTGCAAAATACTAATATGAAAAACGAATAACAAGAAGGAACAAAAAAAAACTCTTAACTCGAGGCCTGTGTTACGTACAGATTCCTTAAAACAGATTCGTCCCTTCACCGTACGTGCTTGAGGTGTAATTTGAGCATCTACTTCTCAGGATATAACGGTGGAACAGCAGAATCTGAGCACTACGGATTTTACTCCATCGAACTGAGTTAGAGCCCGAACAATATCACTACTAGACTCAAACAGAAACGAAAACATAAACAAAACTTGAACTGTATATAGATGAATATTTAGATGAATTCTCGTATTGAAAACTGGGAAAAACCGAGGTATATATAGCCTTTGGATCTTGTAACTTGCCCACTTACTTCATGGAAATTACAACATGAGTTTAAGGAGA